AAAAATGACTTGTTTATGGAAGATTTATTCAAAATAGCCAAAAATAGAAACAACCCAAAAGCCCATCAGAAGAATGAACAAACATGGCATATTCATACAGTGGAATACCATACAGAAATAAAGGAGCAAGCTATTTGATAACAGCAACAACATGAGTGAATGTCAAAGACATTTTGGTGAGCAAAAGAAGCCAAACACAAAAGAATACCTACAATTTGAAATTTCACTCACATGTGGAATTGAAGAAGGAAAAAAAAATAAACATAGGGGAAGGGAAGGAAAAATGAAATAAGATAAAAACAGGGAGGTAAACCACAAGAGACTCTGAATCATAGGAAACAAACTGAGGGTTCCTGGAGGGGAAGTGGAAAGGAGGATGGGTGACTGAGTGATGAGCATTAAGGAGGGCACTTGATGGAATGAGCACTGGGTGTTATATGCAACTGATGAATCACTAAATTCTACCCCAAAATTAATAATACATGTTAACTAAATTAAATTCAAATTTAAAAAATCTACTGTATGAGTCCATTTATACGAAATTTAAAAACTGGAAAGCTACTGGTTGAGCAGACTGTGGTGACTGGGAAGGGATATGAAGGAACTTTCTGGGATGACGAAAATATTTTATAATATTGTAGGATTGTATACAACTGTAAAAATATAAGCACATATTATTGAGCTATCCCCTGGAAATGTTTACATTTTGCTACACATAAATTATGCTTCAATTTTAAAAAGGGAAAAAAAGAATCCCACATCGAACCCCAAATATATGCAACCCAGATGGGATCTGGGAACTCCCCAGTCAAAAATATCCAGTTTGGAGAGGAGGAAACTCTATGCCTCCCCAAGAGTTTGGCTGAGCCCTAAGGGTTCATCCTCTTGATTCCCTGCTGTCCACTCAATTTTGCTACACAGCAATCCAGGGATGAAATTATCACAGTGAGCTCCCTCACACACACACACACACACACACACACACACACACACACACCCCACAAACACACACACATCCACTTCTGCCAAGCATTTTGCTAGTTTAGTCAACTTTTTGCAGATTTGAGGTTCAAAGTCATACAGAGTGGTCTCATCATAACTGTCTCCCCTTCTTTCTAAATGCAGAATAAAAACTGCTTTTCTCAAGCCAAGATTCCAGCCAACACCCAGACCACAGAGTCACAGCTTTCTCCCCAAAAGGCCTGGACAAGGAAAAATCTTTCATGAGAATAGAGCACTCCTTCTGAAAGGAATTGTGGGAGATACACAACTCCCTCTTCTCTATGCTTAGCCACACTACTCTGGTTGAAGCAAAGAGCTTCTGCTCTTTGCCCCTCCCCACTTCCTCTCACCCTGGCCTCTAGGCCCCAGGGGAGCTCTGAGAAACCTTGATAGTCCCTTGAGGGCAATTTGAAAACCACTGCAGTAGCTCTGGGGAGGAAAGATTGACAAAACTGAGTTTGAGAAAGTAGCCATTTGCCCTGCATTTGGAGTTGGAGTAGAGCAGTGAGAGATTCTAGTTACATGAGTGTGGATGGTACTGGATGCTTTGGGGTCTGCTAAAAGAATAAAAATTTTCACCTGTTTTCCATGACCTATCTTCAATCAATCTTACCTCTTACTTTCCCCCTCACCATGAATATAATGAGGAGTAGTAACTTTGCCCTCCTTTTGGGCACGTACTTCAAATGGGGTTTTTACAACCATTTTTAAGGAAACATGCTGATGCAGTGGTAGCTGAGACTCTAATGGAAAATATTAGAGGAAGCAGTATAAAAGCAGGACCAAAAGGGACACCTGCGTGGCTCAGTGGTTGAGCATCTGCCTTCAGCTCAGGGCGCGATCCCAGGGTCTGGGGATCCAGTCCTGCTTCTCCCTCTGCCTATGCCTCTCTCTGTGTGTCTCTCATAAATAAATAAATAAAATCTTAAAAAAAAAAAAAAAGCAAGACCAAGAGATACATAAACAAGGTGTTTAAAAGGTAGTGCTTCTTTACCTCAGCTTGTTTTGGATGTACCTACATACAATAAAGTCTACCCATTTTAAGTGTACAATTTCATGAATTTTGGTAATTGTATATCATTGCATAACCACGACCACAATATAGATGCAGAATAGTTCCATCTCCTGAAACATTTCCTGTGCCCCTTTGCAGTAGTTCCTTTCTCCTACCCCAGCCAGAGCAACCTCTGATCTGTTTTTGTAGCTATAATTTTGCCTTTTCTAGGGTTTCATATAAATGGAATGATATAGTACATAGTCTTTTGTGTTTGACTTCTTCTACTTGACTTCTTTTCACTTTGAGCTATTTTTAACCTATATTACCTATATTATTAAATATATTACTATTTTGTTCTTTTTTATTGTTGAGTAGTACTCTATAGTACGGATATACAATTGTTTAATCTATTTACCAGTTGATTGACATCTGGGTCACTTTCAGTTTGGGGCTGTTATGAATAATGCAGCTATGAACACTTGTACACAAGTCTTTTTGTGGGCACATGTTTTCACTTCTCTTGGGTAAATACCTAGGAGTGGAAATGATGGGGTGTATATATAGTAAGTGAGTGAATATTTACCCAGTCACGGGTGGAAACATAACTAGGGAAGTCCAGAGCCCAGAGCCTGTGTCAAAAGCTGTAGATAAGCTACAATCCTCAGTATTTTCATGATTCAAGAGTCCTAAGCCAACAACAAAATAAGACCTACTTTGGAGCCTGTATAACCTGTGTAGCCCAGTAGAGTACCACCCCATAGGAAAGCCCACAACCCAGCTTCCCACAAGGGAAACCTCCCATAAAGATCATTCCTGTGGAAGATGAGCTCATCATATAAAACATACAAGAATGTCCAGTTCCATTAAGATAGCCAGAACTATTGATACCAAAAACAATATCCAATAGAGCAATCTTAAAGGTATTTAAAAATGTGCATTTAATTAATTAGTTAACATTAGTTAACTAGTTAATTAGTTAACATTCATTGTTCTTTTTTTTATATTCATTGTTCTGCTTTTCTTTTCTGCACATCCTTGTATGTGACTCTTCCATACTACCTTGAGAAGAGCTAGAATATTACAGTAGAAATTCAGAGACAAAAGTAGTTTGCTTTAGGTCAGTTTTTGCTTCTAAAATAAATTTTTGAGAATCAACAGGGAATATCCAAGAGTAACAGTCATAGACTCTAAAAAGAGAACAGAAGATATGCTGCTTACCCTATGCCTAACCACTGAGGAGATTAGATAAGTATTACCTGAACTAGTTGGTAAACAGAGAGGCAGAAATGGACTGTGGCCTTGAAAAAAAGTTGAAGGCCTGGATATGAGAGGACCTGACTTAGAAAGGTCACAGGAAGATGTCAAGGATTATCTGTGCCAGAGCTAAGTGCTAAGATGATTATGGCCTCTTAAGTGAGCACTATGTCATTCACAGTTGCTATTTTTCTCAGTACATGCATGAGGGCATTCCATGGACATCCATCTGCATAGCACTCCTTAGATTATCCAGTAAGACACCTACCTACCTCCAAATATTTGTCAAGCACCTGCCAAACTTTATCAAGAATAAAGTACCTTTCTAATATATAATTTATAAAATATATTACATATTAGTTAATTATAATATGAAAGTATTAATGTAGAATATAATAATATAAAACAGTCTCCAAAATATATTGTTGGGGATAAAGCAAAGTATATAATAGGTTATGTGGTAGGATACCATTTGTACCATTTATAGAAGAAAAGTATATACACACATATGTATGTATGTAGTTAAGTATTTATATATTTGTACATGTAAAGAATATCTCTAAAAGATACAGAGGTTCATGACAGTAGTCTCTAGAGAATAAAAGGGTGGCTATGGAATTGAGTGGGTGAAGAATTCCTTATATTATAAACTCTTATAAATAAATAAATAAACTCTTTTGTTCCTTTTGAACATTTTTATCGTGTGTCATATACTCCAAAAATTGAATAAAATAATGCAGATAAATATTCACATAAAACAGCAATTTTGCTTTTAGATAATTTCCCTGCAGAAGCCATCACACATGTACAAAAGGAAAAAAATGCAATATTATTGATAAGGGTAAAAAAACTAGAAATAATTCAAATCTTTATCAGTAGGGGAATGAGTATATAAAATGTGGAATAGCATATAGTGGTTAGAATAGATGATAGATAAATATATCATAGGATAACTTTAAAGGAAATCAATTAGATTGATCTATCTGTGTTTCAACTTAAAAATATGTTGAGCAGAAAAAAGTATATAGAGAGTATGTGTTTAGCATACAACTTAAGTAAATTTTTAAAAACACATTAAGTAAATATATAAAGTGGGCTAAAGGGATTCCAAACCCACAGTGAATTTTACCTCTGTGGAGGGCAAAGTTAGGGGGAAGTGGGAATGAGAGGCTAGTAACATTATATTTCTTAAAAAACAACTACTAAAAGAAAAAGAAAAAAGGGAAGTAGGTATGATAAAACGTTAAAAGTTTTACATCTGGGTGATAGAAATATAGGTGCTTCTTGTTTTATTCTTTGCATTTTTCTGCAGTTCTAGAAATGTAAAAGAAGAAGGAAGGAAGGAAGGAAAAAGAAAAAGGAAAATACAAATATCCAACCAAAGTTCTCCAGAAAGACCCTTTTACTTTCTTTATAAAGTCAAGTAAACTCTAAACAATCGGCCTTGATGTTATTAATAAATATACCTTTAAAGTATAAAATTTTGTATTGGAGGTTTTAAAGCATTGGGAAACTCTGGTTGTGGCTCCAGATTTCATTCCTCAGATGTAACAGGATGAAACCATTGTCAAAGAGAATGCAGAGAAGTCTGACTCCCCGCAACGACGTTGCTCCCTGGATACACCCATTTGTATCCAACCCTCATTCTCCCAAACCCCTAATGGCATATTCTGTTGAGGAAGCACCATGGCTTGCTTCAAGACATATTCATTTTCCTTGTGCCTTTTTGCTCTTTGTGAAAAAGAAAACTTTCTGGAGGCGGAGCTTGTTTGAGCAACAACACCCTCTTTAAAAACCAGAGTCTCCAGCTTACTGGATCACTTCAGTTCCAGCATCCTGCCTAGCAAAGAAGCAATTAGCCAAAATGATGCCTGGAGGCTTAACCGAAGCCAAACCTGCCACTCCAGAAGTCCAGGAGATTGCTAATGAGGTGAGTTGATGTCTCTCATGAAAAGGATTGATCCAATATCTTGGTTCCTAGGTGGGCCGTCTTAAGTGTGTGGGTGACCTTGAAAACCAGAACACTGGGAAATGTGTGGTTTTGTTCAGCCTTCCCTACAACTAAAAACTTTTTCAGATGAAACCACTAATAATCCTATGAGAGTGATCTTGAGCAAGTAACATCCCTTCTCTGAGCCTCAGTTTCCCCATTAATAAAAGAATTTATATTGGGTCATCTTTATAGGCTTACAATGTATGATTCTAGGATTACTAATTCAGTTTCTGTTGAAGCTTCTAATCTTACCAAATTGAGCCAACATGTAATTAAAGTCTAAAGTTGTTAACAATATGACGAACTAGACTTCACACGCTCTGCAGGGAGATTTTTTTTTTTTAATGGGTTAAAGGAAGAACAATATTGCAAAGACAATCCACTTACACACTTCCTGCCAATTTGCCTAATAGAAAATATTTCAGTCTCTTCATATTTAGAAGATGATTAAACTAGTAGGAAAGAGGAGTGGCATAGTCTATGGTGATTCCAAAATTGATTATGGTGAAAACAGAACTCAATGTTTTTAGTAAGTTGATATATTTTTCTAAGTGTTGTTTCACTAGCTATCATCTATATGATAAAATTTTATTATACTGCATATTTTATGAAAAGAAAATATATATAAGTTACTATTTTAGGTTTTTAAATTGTTCCCCTATTTTCTTGTATCGTTCCTTGTTTTTTTCTCCGTGAAACTTCATGCTATGACTCTGGCCAACAAGATCAACTTCTTGTGTAAGTGAAAGAGATAGGATCTCTATGTTAGGGCTCTGGAGTGCTCCCCAGAGATTGGATGCCTGGAATTCTACATTCTTTGGGGATAAATCTTTCCCTTTCAAGAGTTCTTTTAAAAAACATATACTTTGTAGCTTTTCTTTCTTTAATGGGTAATATTGAGTCATTAATACCTTTATTTGAGTTCCTGTATCAGGTCAGTTTTCTCAAACGTCAATGTACACATAAATTACCTGAGGGCCTTGTTCAAATGCAGATATGGTACGGTGGGCCTGAGAGCCTGCATTTCTAACCAGCTCCCAGGAGATGTTTATGCTGCTGTCCATGACCTTGTGGCCTACAGGACTGGAGATACATGATATTCTAGAGGCCTATGGGAGATGGGCTTTCTAAAAGCAGAGCACAGAGGGTGCTTGGTGGTGCAACTGGTTGAGCCTCTGACTCTTGGTTTCAGCTCAGGTCATGTCAGGCTCTGAGCTCAGCACACAGTCTGCTTAAGTGTCTCTCCCTCTCCTTTTAAAGCCCTTCCCCTTGCTCTCTCTCTCTCTAAAATAAATAGATAAATCTTTGATAAATAAATAAATAAATAAATAAATAAATAAATAAATAAAAGAGCACTGCAAAAAAATTCTCAATTCTACTTATGAAATGAAGATCACCTTCTTGCTCTGCTGATCTCAGTGCTGTAAGAACTACATAAGGTGATGTGCATAACAATGACTTGAAAACAAGAAAGAAATATGCATAGGTGAGGCATCACAGGTATTTGCTTCAAATCTTGCTTCACCCGTGACCCTGGAAACTCCCCCTGAGACTCTCTAGGGACCAGAGTTGTAAGGGAAATGGGGAAATAACTGAGATTTCATTTATAGAGAGTGTGCAGAAAATTTTAATGACTTTTAAAAAGCCTATCTTCATTAGAAGAATAATTTTTCTTTTAATAAGAAGCTATAAGAAGGTCTTGCATTGTTAAAAAAAATCCATCTGTGAGCCACATCTTAAATTATGAAACTAATTTGAAAATGTGTTTCTTCCTGCTTACCTCAGGCCCCAGCCCTGCCAAGGAGGTAGAATGAGAGCTTGGTATTAACAATAGGTACAGGGCAGACCCGGTGGCCCTGCGGTTGAGCACCGCCTTCGGCCTGGGGTGTGATCCTGGAGACCCAGGATCGAGTCCCATGTCAGGCTCCCTGCATGGAGCCTGCTTCTCCCTCTGCCTGTGTTTCTGCCTCTCTCTCTCTCTCTCTCTCTCTCTCTCTCATGAATAAATAAATAAAATCTTAAAACAAAAAACAAAAAACAATAGCTACATCACCTGGGAAAGGTGCTTTGAAGTTTCAAAAGCCCTGTCTTCCATGCGACCTCTCCCTTGATCTTCATAACCCCTGGAGCAGGGAAGGAAATCATCATGTCCATTTCTCACATAAGATTTCAAACTGAGATTCAAAGAGTTTAATATCTGCCTAGTTAAGAAGCTAGACTATCTTCAGATTTTTGACCTTCTTGCCTTTTCCACTGTACAGTGGCAGGAACATAGAGAAGCATGAGGGTTGAGGGAATACATGGTATGGCAAGTTGCCTTATCTGTGCAAGCAGTAAGCCTCAGATTTAAATCAATTTGAGAAATGAATATCAGCAAATCATTTCTTGAGTATCTCTAAGGTGTCCAGCATTGTGCTAAATGTTGTAGAAGATGCATAAGGACTTTAAGACATGGCCCCTGCCCTCAAGGGATTTACAGTCCATTTAGAGAAGTCAAGATAACTGGAACATAAAAATAAAACAATCTCTAGTTAGGAACATTTTTTTTTTAGGAACATTTTTTAAATCATAGGTCTGTAACCAGGAAGGACATTAGAGATTGCCCATCAAAGCTCCTAACTTTCAGGTGAATAATTACTGTGTAGTAATTCAGCTCCTGGGGTATTAAGTTCCCAGTTATCATTTGGCACCGCTCTCACAGGAAAACCTTAGGGAACAATTCCCAATTACGTATTAGAAGGCAGAGGAATGATCAGTTTAGGAAGCACTTACCTATCAATGATAAAGTTTATCTCCCCACAAATAACCCCAAGAGGCAGGTATTACCAAAACCACCTTTAGGTGAAGAAATATAATCAATACCTCCAAGATTATAGAATTAGGTGCCCAGTCAGAGCCAGGCAAATAAGTAGGTGTTGGTAGTTATACATTTAGTATGATCTGAGGTGGTCCTAAGGAAGACCACCACTACCTGTCATTTACCTTGTAATTTTATCTCTTTGATTTTTTTTATGTATTCAAACTTTTTAAAATCACCTGTTAAAATGCAGGTATCAAAAATAAATAAATAAATAAATAAATAAATAAATAAATAAATAAATAAATAAAACAATGCAGGTATTCTTAGAGGACATGAAGTTTATCAGCTTTCCCTGTCCTTAATAGAGAGCTTCTTAGTGGAATGCCAACTGAAGGAAAAACTCCATTTGGGAGAGAAGGAAAGGAAAAGGGAGGCCATCTCATAGAGAGGGGAAAGTAACAAAGATAAAATAAGAACTGCAGGTTTAAGGAATTTGGTGTCAAAAAGAAAGGGATGTTGGATGAGGTCAGAAAGAGAAGAAAATCAATCAAAGAGCTTGGGGTTGAGAAGACTTGAATATTTCTGAAGGAAGAAAAAAAGGAGTATCCCCATCCTGAAGATAATAGACACTGAAGGATAATTGTGTATCATGTATCACTAAAGGATGTAAATGGTACTTAGGTCCCAAGTACATATGGAAAAAACTCTCCTTTCCCAGGATTCTCTGTATTAGTTGAGGGCCCCTGCTATCCTTTTCTATCCTCTTTCCTTTGTGGGAAGGCAAAGTGTCATGAAGAAAAACAGTCCTGCTTTCTTCATTCAGAAAACATTATGTACAGAGTACTGTGTGAATTGCTGTAGGGACAGAAGGGACACCAAGATGATTCTTGCCTTCAGAGACATTTACAAAATAGAAGATAAGAGATACGCTCAAGGAAATAAAGAGCTATACTTGGCCTGAGAATTGGAGTGAGAATTCTGACTATGTTTATGTGCAGGAAAGAACTGTTATTTCAATAATTATTTTTAGAATAAGGTCTATTATTATGCATGTGCAGGTATATACACAACACACACACACACACACACACACACACACCTAAGTCAAACCTAATTGCTGAATGCCATTCCTGGCAAACACACAGACCATAACACTATACAAACACCTCCTCTGCATACCATCAAGGACACCACACCTTGGAGCTTAGCATGTCACAGCTGTCACTCACCCACCCATTTGTGTTCTCCTGTCCAACCACAGCCTCTTCATCAGTCACATCTCCACTGCGCCACACCCAGAGAACCTGCCATCCAGCTGCATCACAATCTTTCAGGCACTTATGCTCCTGTCTTCATCATCAGAATATGCCTAGGTCTACTTGAGCACTCATCCAGCCGGGACCCATGATGGGTGGCTTCATGAACTCTTCCACCCCTGATTGCTGTTGACCCCATGCAATTCTCGCATTGCAGTCCTCAATTAGAGATCACTCCCACTGTCACCACTTCCTCTTCAGCTTCTGCTCCAGGTTCAGAGAACTTTGCTTAAGGAAGTTGTAGAACCACAGAAACTCACTCAATAGAAATCTATGAATTCATGCCAGCAAACAACCCCAACAGGAGCCTCGGGCTACCAGAACATCCTTTCAGTCACATCCTATTGGCCCTTCTCTAGAAACCCCAGAGAAGTGGACCTGGACCTCCTCTCTCCTTGGTTTCTCAGTCCCTCCCATCCCCATGGCCCCTCCAGCCAGTATCTCAGGTCCTTCTCTTAAAAGACTGAAGTCATCTGGTATAAGAACACTCCCAATTTCCTTATGCCCTGCTGGATCTCATTCTTCCTCCAGTCCAAGACTCTTGCCTTTCCTCTCTTATGTGGGGTGCCATCATTTCTTGCATATCAGGTGCCCCATACATGCCCCTTCCTTCAAAACATAGATGACATATGTCTGTAAGTCACTTATCAGCTCTACTCTACTTTCATGCTATATGCAAACTCTCCTTCCTTACTTTGTAAAACATCCCAAAGTATGCTGAACTCATGTTGCCACTATCACCTTTCTACCCATTCTTCTCTATATTATGCATAGCATGGGACACCTGGGTGGCTCAGTGGTTAAGCGTCTGCCTTCCAGCTCAGGGCGTGATGCTGGAGTCCTGGGGATCGAGTCCCACATCGGGCTCCCCACGTGGAGCCTGCTTCTCCTTCTGCCTATGTCTCTGTTTCTCTCTCTGTGTGTGTCTCTCATGAATAAATAAATAAAATCCTTAAAAAAATAAATTACACATAGCCCAGTGTTTCTGCAGAATGATTATAGACGGGGAAAGTGCCTAGGTGTTGGGTGCAGCGTGGCTCAAATCTTCAGATCCCAGAGAACTAACAACTCACCAAGATTCATGCTCTGCAACAATAAAAATATCTTGAACAGCTTTAGGGTAATTGTGCCAGTTGCTCCTCTCTGGTAACATCCTTTCTCCGGCTGGGGTCCAAGTGACAAACCCACACTGTTTCTTCCAGCGTCTCAGCCACTACCATGCATGACAGACTGAGGAAGGTGAATGCCAACTGTGTTCAGCTCAAGGTCTGTCTGTGTACCACCAGGTCCCAGACCACCACTCCCAGCTGGCCTCCATCCTCCCAGCACCCATCCCTGGGCAGGGGTAGGGGTGTTCAACACCAAGCTACCTTCTGAAAATCCACTGACCATCTCCTTCCTATTATGCCTCCTTACTTGCCCCTCAGCTTAGACCTCATCACCCCAGATTCATAGCACCCAACACTAGAAGAACACCAAACTGTTTCACTGGGAAAAGAGAACAAGGCAAGGGGTAATAAGTACAATAAACCTGAAATCATGGCACACAGTCTAACAAGTGCCAGTGCACTTACCAAAACAAACTAGAACTTTGGAAATCAGCTCTCTTATGGAAAATTCTGGACTTGTGGACTGCACAGATGCAGGAGAAAGGTTACAAATTTTGATCTATTTTTTAGGACAGTTAGAAATAAAAGTTTCTGATATTTGGTAAAAAACAAAACCAAACTACCATCACCAAAAGACTGGAAACCAGAAGGAATACAGGTCATTGCAACGGATAAATCAGATACTTACACTATCAGACAAGGGATTGAAAATCTTAGGTTACTGTAATTAATAATTTTTCAGCCTTCAGCAGTCATGTTCTCCTCACAGCCTCAGGTCCCTCATTTGTGAAATGAGATTTGAATAGACAATTTTGGGTTTGGAGATTAACCCTTTCCAACTCAGCTCCTAACTTAACTGGTACCCAGTGTTGGCTCAGAGGGATTAGACAGGGGAAGCAATAGGACAGTAAGGCTACTCTCCTTACTCGATTTCTCTCTGCATTTCTGTCTACCTTTTCCTCCTCTCCTGCACCCTACCTCTTCCCATTTGGGTTTTTCCCCCCCTCATGATTTGTCTCCTTCCTTTCTCCACTTTGAAGCTTCATTTTCCATCTCACTTTCCATCTTCATTTTCCACCTCAAGAAAGCAATATCACACTCTTCTCGTCCATTCTGAAGGTCACAGGAGAAATGGATAGTGGTCCATGAGGTGCTACATCCTCTAAAGTGGTCTGAGAACTCAAAGAGTTGAAAAATGTTTACATCTTTGAAAACCAGCTCTGGTACACCAACCAAAGCACCAATAGAAAAGGATTCAGTATATCTGTCTACTGATGGGAAGGACTGAATGGCCTTGGGAGAACCCAGATGCACGAGAGGCCCACCTGAAGCACGTAAAAATGCTTTAGTTAAGGGAAGGGAGGCAATTTCCCAATAAACAAGATACATCGAACATACACATCTACTTTCTTTTAGATGACAGAAAAAGGTTAGAAGAGAAAGGCCACAAAACCACAAATAGGAAGAGAACAGGAGATAGGCAAACACCACCTCAGAGATACTAACCAAACCTTGGAAGACAGAAAAACCAATGAATGATGGAAAATGACTGGGCCACCTAGACGGAGCCCAGCCACAGAAGGGAAAGATGAGCCAGCAGCAAGTGGATTCGTGGTGCAGAATTTCGAAGTGGCTCAGCACTAGCAATGCCAGAAACATATGAAGATGAGAGTGAGGCATAGGGCTAACACCAGGAGAACCAAGGGCAGATCTGTATGAGGAGCAACAAGGCCGCCCCCAGATCCTTCCCTTTCACTATCTTCCAAGCTGTATTCTTATCTTAACAAAGTGAGTGAGTCAGAGAGAACATAGTGGACACTAGCATATCAGGCTCAGCCGAGGGAGGGATGAAGGACTGATACTGAAAACCAGTAGATTTAGTAAAATTTCATAGATTGCATTTGAGACTCTCCACTCCCTTGTCATGCTTGGTTTGGGTAAACTGGCACCAAAGCTTATAATCCCTCTGTGGTAGACAGACTGGTGGCCAACAACCCAATCCCTGAATCCTGTAAACGTGTTATCCTCCATGGCAAAGGAAATTGCAGACGTGATTGAAAGGTCTTGAGATACCCTATATTATTTTTGCAACTTTGAGTCTGAAATTATTTCCAAATAAAAAATGTGGAAGCGAAGTAGTAATTATTGCTCTCCCTCCCATTTTTATTAAAACTTATTATCAGAGCTTTACTAGTGAAAACATTACCATATTGCCAAATTACCATGCTGAGTTGATGTAAATGCAGCCTAAAGCAGAAAAAAATTAACATTTTAGTTAGCCCATGTAATTTTTTTGAAGATAGATGGTTTCTTTTCCTTGAAATACCAAAAATACCTCTCGTTACCATGTTCAAGGACCTTTAGAAACACAAGGTTCCCGGACTTGTAAATCACACAAATGGAGTCCCATATAGCTTTAGTAACGTGTTTCCTCTTTTTCTCTTCTTAAGGTTAAACCTCAGCTTGAAGAAAAAACAAATGAGACTTACCAAGAATTTGAAGCCGTAGAGTATAAAACTCAAGTGGTGGCTGGAATAAATTACTACATTAAGGTTAGAGTTCAACATCCTTGATGAGTTCACCTTGGCACTAAAAGATATGGGATTTTTCACTTGGTGTGATGCTTCCTGTCGCCCCTACCATTTTTGTCCCTTCCCGTTGTCCTAAATGAAGGTGCTTACCTAGCATGAAATTGAGAGTGGTAGTAGACTCTCAAATTTGGTAGATGATGGTATATTTATACCATCTGTTTCCTATGAATTTAGAAAGCTCTCTTATGTTGACTCCTTTCAAATGACAATTACAATTTACAAATTACGTTTGTCAAAAATCGTATAGAAAGAGATTTCATGACAGTTCCAAGCATGCTTAGTTTGTGGCCATAGCGCTTTTTGTGTAAAGTGAGAGAAGATCTCAGTTGCCCACAGGCTTGGAGCTGAGCCAGATGCTCCACTCAAAGCTTTATGATTCTATGTGTCTAAACTAGATGAATTTTAGGAATGACTTAAATACATTTAAGGTGGGAAAATAGTTGAAACCACTTTTGTCTTTTACATAAGCATTTTGATTAACACAATTTAAACAATTTTTGCAATTCAAGTAAGTGGATTCAATTTGTGACACTGAAGGTATAGTTTAAAACAGTGGAACATTTAAGGTAATTTAGAATTTAATTCATAGCTACATCAACAAATTAAGTGGAGCACATGAATGAGATCCCGCCTTATCCTCAGAAAGCAATGACACAATCATTTCCTCCTTTCTCAATCTGCTTTCTTCACAGCTAAAAAAGAATGTTTTCCACTTAAAAATGATTTTGTTCAAAGACAAGAAACATTGCATCAAAATTGGAATCATTGTTTTAATAATTTACAATTAGACCAAGTTCATAAATTTCACAAATTAACCAGCTCACATATTTCCTAAAAAGCTCACTAAGAAACTTGAAAATTTCATTCCTTAAGACCACTTGCCTGGTTAACTTTCTCATACTGGATTACAACTGCTGACTCCAGTCCCCTCATTACTTCCTGCCATCTAGCTGTTGATCTCTGCTCTGAACTGTTCTCTACATGTAAGGTCTTTCTGGTGATGAGACCTTCTGTGTTCTTTCTCAAGTATCTATCAAGAGGCAGGTGGTGGAATGGAAGGGCTGCAGCCTGTGGTGTCAGGTAGTTCTGGGTTTGATCCCCTGTTCAATTTGTGCCACTAGTCAGTGCCTGTGTGATCACAGCCCTTCATCTTCTCTGAGCCTCAAGGCCCTTATCTGGGCAATGCAGATAAGAACCTACTTTGCCAGATGTGTGGAATAAATAAGCTAGAAATTTACTGAGCACTTACAACGTGCCAGGCAGGCTCTGTTCTTAGGACTGGGCATGTATTATCTCTTTGAATCCACTCAACAAATCTATGAGCTAAGTGTGATGATTTCCCTTGTGTTACTGATGAGAAAATGGAGCCCCAGAGAGATGGAGCAACTAACAAATATCATACAGTTGTAAGAGCAGAGGCAGGATTTGAAGCCAGGTGGTCTGATGCTGAACTACTGGCTGTGCTGCTTCTAATAATGTATGCAAAGGCTGATGTCCTGTTCTAAGTACAGAATAAATGCTTTTAAAAGTTTACACAGTAGGGGAATCTGAGTGGCTCAGTTGGTGGAGCATCTAACTCTTGATCTCAGCCTGGGTCTTGATCTTAGGTTATAAGTTCAGGCCTCACGTTGGGCTCCATGCTGGGTGTGGAGCCTACATGAAAAAAAAAATGGCTACACCATAGAGTGAAAATAACATTGATATTGGAGTCTAGATGTGGGTTTTGATTCTGTCACCTATTAACTGAGAGACTTATGGAAATTTACTTAATCTCTACTAATTACACAGATGCTTTCTGCATCTGTAAAACTGTAATGGTTCTACCTTTGTTCAGGCCCATAGTAAGAAGTATATAAAATGTTCATCATAGCCTACAAATCGTAGTAAACATTTGATAAATGGTATTTGTTAATAAGGAAGGGACATCAGAATGTAAACAAATATTATTCTACGACAAAACTTTTATTGTACCAACCAAAAATGAAAGTTTAAATTCTTATCATGATTATCTAGGTCCTAGATTCATGCCCACACTACCATTTCAATTTTCATACCATGACTTCCCAGCAAGAACCCTTCACTTTATAGGGACACCAGACTGTCCATCCTCTGGTTCCTGCACAGTCTTATCAGTGGGCATTTATAATGTAGGTTCTAATAGAGATATGGGAACAAACATCCCAAATTTTCTAGGACAATTCTGATTTTCCTCCTCCCTTCTCAAACCATGTAGCAAATAAAGTGTCCCAATTTGGAAGTCAGAAAACAGAATCAACAAAGAAACTGTCCTTTGTTCTCTTGCATTGTGCATCTTTGAAAATGAAATGCACCTTCATTTGTACCCAAAGTAGGAAATAATAAGAAAAAAAGAAAAGAAAAGAAAAGAAAAGAAAAAAAGAAAAGAAAGAAAAGAAAAGAAAAGAAAAAAAAAGAAAAAGGGCTTATGCCTCTTGCCATGCCTTTAGCCTGCCCTTTATCATAAAATAAGGTGATAGATTTATGAAAATCAAGAGTCTAAGAAATACTGTTCTTGAAAACCTTATTTCAGTGAGTCTTTAAGTCTGAGAATGTTTTACATGGCAAAGTTGCATTTGAATGAATCTCTTTTTAATTTTTTTCTTTTTCTTCTCTTTTAGGTGCGGGTAGGTGATAATAGTTATATTCACCTAAAAATATTCAAAGGCCTTCCTGGACAAAATCCAACTTTGACACTTACTGGTTACCAGACTGACAAAAGCAAGGATGATGAGCTCACAGGCTTTTAGCAGCATGTTCCAAAAGTGGTCTGATATTTTCTACTGGCTATTGATTAATGTTCCCTGCTAATAAATGTAACAACAAGAAAGCATTCCTTTTCAAATAAATTGATTTCTTCAACTATTTCTCTTTTGTGTTAAATAGTATTTACCTTTTCTTTCTCAAAGTCAATGTTATTGCTTTAGAGTAGAAATTCCATACAAATCAATGTCAGCTGGAAATCTTATAGAACTTAGGCCCAATGCAACTTGCTGAAGAATAAGACCACTACCACCACCACCACCACCACCACCACCACCATTCCCACCATAGGCAGGCTAAGAATCTTAGCAATCACAGGGCACAATATTCCATCCCTAGCCTCAGATTTTAAAATTAAATCAGTTATTTTATGAAATATATTTATATATTATATATTTATATTTTGAAATAATCTCACAAATAAGTTGCAAAAATACTTTTTTCCAGACATTTGAGAATGAGTTACCTACAGTGTGCCCCATCACCCATCAATACTTTAGTTTGCATTTCCTACTAACAAGCATTTTCTCCCGAATAACTGAAATGCAACTATCAAAATCAAGAAAGTAACACTGATACATATGCTAACATCTAATCCCCAGACAACATTCGTTTCCCCAGTCATCCCCAAAATGTCCTTTATTGCTAAAAGTTCCAGTCCAAAACCAAGTGTTCCATTTAATTGCCATTTTTCTCTTTTCTGAAACCTCTATTAAGATATAATTTATATACCATATAATTCATCCAATTAAAGTATACGATTCAAAAGTTTTTAGTAGATTTAAAAATGTGTGCAACCATCACAGAGACAATTTTAGAACATTTTCATCACTTCAAAAAGAAACCCCATACCTTTTAGCTATCATCCCCCCATCCTCCTCCACACTTCACCCCTAGTTTATTTACTGTCTGTTTCTATAGACCTGCCTATTCTAGACATTTCATAAGTTTTAAATCACAAGTGGGTTTCTGCAACTGGCTTCTTCCACTTAATAAAATGTTTTGGAGATTCATCTATCTTGTAGCATGTGCCAATGTTTTATTTATTTTGTGGTCAAATAATATTTACTTTATGGATATACTACATTTTGTTCATCCACTTATCAGTTGATGGATATTTGAGTTGCTTTTACCTTTTTCGCTATTTTGGACAATGTACAAACATTTGCACACTTTGTTTTGTCCATACATATGTTTTCATGTCTCTTGGGTGTATACCTAAGACTAACTTGCTATTTCATATGGCAACTCTATATGTTTAATTGTTCAAGGAACTTACGGCCTGTTTTCCAAAGTAGCTGCATCATTTTACATTCCCACCAGCAGTGTAGGAGAGTTTGGATTTCTTCACATCCTACAACACTTGCTATTATCTGCCCTTTTGAGTCTAGGCATCATAATGGTATGAAGTGGTATCGTATTATGGTTCTGATGTGCATTTCCCTGATGACAAATGATGTCAAGTAGCTCTTCATGATCTTATTATCTATTTGCATATCTTCCTTGGAGAAATGTCTATTCAGATCCTTTGCCCATTTTTTAATCAGGCTATTTGTCTTTATTATTGAGTTGTAAGGTTTCTTTCTTTCTTTCTTTCTTTCTTTCTTTCTTTTTTTTTTTTGAGTTGTAAGATTTCTTTGCATATTCTGGATATAGTCTTATCAAAGATATGCTTTGTAAATATTTTCTCCCATTCTGTGGCTCTTTTTTACTTTTTGATACTGTCCTTTAAGTGTCAAAGTTTTTAATTTTAATGAAATGCAAATTATGTTTTTTTCCGTTTAAGTTATTGTGCTTTTGGTGTCAGATCTAAGGATCCTTTACCAAATCCAAGCACATGATCTACTTCTCTGTTTTCTTCTAAGAATTGTATAGTTTTAATATTTACCCTTAGGTGTTTGATTCCTTTTGAGTTAATTTTTTATTAATGAGTTAATTTTTCTTAGTTAATTTTTATAAGTAGTATGAGGTAAGGATCCAACCTGATTCTTTTGTAAATGGCTATCTAGTTGTTCCACCACCATTTGTTGAAAAGTCTATTCATTTCCATATTGAATGGTCTTGGCATCCTTGTAGAAACATCACAGGCACATAAATTCATTTTCTGGATCCTCAATTCTATTCTATTAGTCTACATGTCTTTCTTTATGCCAATACCACACTTTTCTTGATGACTGTTGCTTTGTAGTAAGTTTTGAAATCAGCAAGTGTGAATCCTCCAATTTTCTTCTTTTTAAAGAATGTTTTGGTTCTTCTGGACCCTTTGAAAGTCTGTATGAATTGTAGAAACAGCTAATAAATTTCTACAAAGAAGGCAGCTAGGATTCTAATAGGGATTATGTTGAATCTGTAGGTCAATTTGTGGAGTAATGCCGTTTTAACAATATTAAATCTTCCAATCCATGAATATGGGATGTTTCCTCAAATATTTACATTTTCTGTAATTTCTTTTGATAATGTTTTATAGTTTTCAGGGCATGAGTTTTGCACTTATTTGTTAAACTTATATCTAAGTATTTTATTCTTATGGATGCTATTGTAAATGAAATTTTTTCCTTAATTTTATTTTGGCTTATTAATTGCATGTGTATAGAAATGCAATCAATTTTAGTATATTGGTCTTATATTCTTCAATCTTGCTGAAATTGTTTATTGGTAGATTTCTTAGGATTTTCCTTTACAACAAGATCATATCATCTGCAAAGAAAGATGGTTTTACTTCTTCCTTTCCAGTCTGAATATCTTTTATTTTGTCCTTAATTACTGTCTAGAACCTCTGTTATAAAGTTAAATAGAAGTGGTGAGAGTGTATATTGTTGTCTTGTTCCTGATCTTAGAGGGAAAGTATCCAGTCATTCACTATTTAGTATGATGTTAGCTGTGGGATTTTTGTAGATGCTCTTTATCAAGTTGATGACATTTTCTTTTAGTTTTTCTTTTTTAGTTATGAAAAGCTATTATATTTTGTCAAATGCTTTTTTTTCTGCATCTTTTAAGATGTTCATGTGGTTTTGCCTTTTATTCTTTCACTATAGAGTTTAACATTAATTGATTTTTGAATGTTAAACCAATTTCACATTCCTAGAATTAATCTCATGTGGTTATAGTGTATAATTTTTTTTCATGTGCTAGATTTGCTAGCATTTTGTTGAAGACTTTTGTATCTATACTCATGAGAGATATTGATCTATAGTTTTCTTGTGATGTCTTGGTTTTGGTATTTATGTGATACTGGTCTCCTAGAATGAGTTGAAAAGTTTTCTCTCTTCTACTTTTTGGAAGAGTTTTTTGTAGAATTGGTATTAAATCTTTTTTAAATGTTTGGTAGAATTCAGTAGTGAAGCTATCTGGGCCTGGGCTTTTCTTTATAGGAAGTTTTTGATTACTGATTTAATCTCTTCACTTGTTATAGGTGTATTTAGATTGACTCCTCTTGAGTTGGTTTTGGTATTGTCTTTCTAAAAATTTATTCATTTCATCTATATTATCTAATTTATTGGCATATAATTGTTCATAGTATTCCTTCCTTGGACCTACCTAATGGATTTTGGACTGAATTGTTAGGAAGGAGAAGTAAGGAAGAAGTACAAGAAAGAGGAAGGAGAAAGAAGGGAAAAGAGGAAATTTGTTTTAAAGATGCCCAAAATAATGTCTCCCTCTGTTCTGGACTCTGTTCATCACGCTACTAGTGCCACTTATCAGTCCCTCTGTTCCCAAATAATAATAGTATGTATTAGGTGCTTATTATATACCACATAGTGTTCTAAAGACTTTACACATATAACTCATTAATTCCCATAACAACCTCATGAGATAAATATTGTTATTATCCTCTCTCTATGGAAGACTGAGTGTAGAGAGGTTAAGTTACTGCCCAGAGCCTCATGGCTAGTTAATAAAGTGAAGATATAATCCCAGGCTATTTGCCTCCAGGACCAATGCTCTTAATCCCTACACTCAGAATTCATTTGCTTATGTATTCTGTTCCCCGTAGGACATAAGGGAGAGCTTGAAATAGTTATAGTTTATATATGTGTGTGTGTATATATATATATACATATATATACATGTAGTTTATATGTGTGTGTGTATATGTATATACATATACATATATATATACATGTATATATATGTTGAAAAATTAAACTATTCTTCTTAAAAACAATTTTAACGTGAAAGATAATTTTTTTAAAGGGAGTGACTTATTGCATTTCCCCCAATCAAGTTTGAAATGGAATCTGGGAGCAAGAATTTGTACTCTAGGGATCCTTGGGTGGTACAGTGGTTTGGCGCTGCCTTTGGCCCAGGGCACGATCCTGGAGACCCGGGATCGAATCCCACATGGGATGGAGCCTGCTTCTCCCTATGCCTGTGTCTCTGCCTCTCTCTCTCTGTGACTATCATAAATAAATAAATTTAAAAAAAATAAAAAAAAAAGAATTTGTACTCTATTGCAAAAACTGTTTTGTCTAACCCCCAAGAGAGAAACTGAGAGAAACCACTGCTAGATCCTTCATAATAAAGAAACTGTCCTGTTCATCTGCCTTCAGCTCCTAGCACATAGATATTAAGTTCAATCAATGAACTAGTATTAATGCCATAGGGCTCTTAGGTAACAGAGAATACCAGAAATGATCCCATTGGCCTAATAATAAGAATCCTTTTCTGAACAATGCAAACATGGACACACGAACATCTATAGCTATAAACTCAAAGCAGCTGGTCAAGCATATACAAAACTTTAATCATATTGATTAGATTTATTTATACATTATCCTGATTTTGGTATAGAAGTCTGAATATACCACAGATTTAAAAAACTAATCTAATAAGGGGCATATAGAACATACGCAAAGACAATTATAGCACTTCACTGTCAGAAATAAAAGACTTGAATAAATGGATCAACATAACCTGTCACTGGTTAAGTAGACTTCATGTTAGCGAGAACATGGTAACAAACAGGAATAAATAGTAAAGAAGACCAAGTAATGTGTGCAGTGATTCTCAATCGTCCCTGCATATTAGAATCATTTAATTTATAAATTTTTTTTTAAAGTACCAAGTGGGGGGCATCTGGGTGGTTTGGTTGGTTAAGTGTCTG